GCATTCCTTGTTGGTATAGCCATCCAATTGTGCTTTCAGCAACGCAGAAAAGAAATAAATTCCTTGCTGGTGCTTTCAGCAATTCAACTGGGTTTTCCACAACGGAACCTGCGGTGGTGTTCCGAGGGGGAGGGGCGCTCCATGACGGGAGGAAAATGGCAGCTGAGTTTGTAGATCAAGCAGCAAAAGAGGAACTTGAAGCGGAGTTTTTACTTGGGCTCTGCTGGTAAGTGAAGAATCAGCTTTTTCAGAAATTGGTTGGTTTGGTATACAGTCAATTTCTTTTTGTTCTTAAGCATTGAATTATTTAATTTCTTCTTCTAAGCATTGAATGATCTAAATTTGCATTAAGAAATTAAATAAAAAGAAAGATAAAATGGAGCAACAAAACTACCACTTGCTCTGTGTACGTGGATTGGTGCATCCCATCTTGTTTTGTTGTCCTTGATTCATTAGACAAGCGGAATTCGAGGAGCTAAAGCGGATTGTAGCTCCCATGGAGAAAATTTTAGTTGTGACGGCAATGTGTAAATCTACGCAATGTTTTAGCAACTCCGGCACCGGAGATGCTGTTTTTAATATGTACCCGCTCTTTATTACCGTCACCATCACAATTTAGAGCATGAGCGGTGACTGAGAGTGTTAAAACTGGTGGTAGCGCCCCATTTAACACCCCAGCACCATATGGACTGTTATCGTTTGGTAATATGTTATTTTGTATGATTCGGTTTTGTAATTACAACCAAGGGGAGCTGATAATTTTGGTTTTATTGGCAGAAAAGTGATGGTCTAGGGGAAAACATTGGTTGTATCTGTCAGTTCCACGCCTTCATCTGCAGCTGCTACACCTTTCAGACAATAGCAATAGTCAACCTCAATGGATTCGAAGAAATCCATGCCCAAGTTGCTCGATCTTTTGAAAAGAGCCAAGGCTGTGGTCAAGGACCCTGAGGCAGTTGGACTCTTGGGACTTGAAGAGAGAAGCTTCTCCAAATGGAAAATAAAGAGTTGCTACCCAAAGTGAAGCTCTTTGATCAAACTTTGTCGAAGCAATTCACTGCCCTAGAACGCGGACTTGGAAAGATTATCTTGGGAGCTGAAATCACTTCCATGAGCGAAAAGGATATGAAGAACACCCTAGATCTCATGAAAGAAAGTGTCGATCAGATATTTAAAGACACAATCCCTCTAGTGGAGAGAATGACCGCCCCAGGACCCATTTCAGAGCCACAGGTGCATCGGTCTAAGGTCGATCAGTCAGGACTA